TGTGTATGAGAGAGAGGGCACGTAAATATGAAAACGTTCATGAAATACATGTTTATTCTAACTGTATTCAAAGATTACATTTGTTTGAAGTATGAACGAGTGAACATGTATTGTACATATCACTTCAATAATTCATGAAATAATATTTTGTATACAAACATTTTTATTCATTTATTTCAAAAAATGTTTGCCTAAAGAACGGAAAAGGAACATGTATTAAAAACAAATGGCGACCTACGTAATGAAATTAAATATTTATTAAAGAATATTTTTGTAAAAAATAAAAATACAAATTCCGGTCATTTTAAAAAGGTAATAAAATATTTTTTAAATAGCTCATTTGGTAATAAATAAATAAATTAAATAAATAATTAAAATAAATACAAATTCAGGTTATTTAAACAAGTTGGCTACCACTTTTAATGAATTTCGAATAATCTCAGCATTTCCTTCAGCGACTGTAGAAAAAAGAATTTCATTATTTAGTTATAATGTAAACTAATTGTTTTCCGATTTGACATAAATGATGTACCATTGTTTGTCCGATTAACACGAAATTTTGCACAACGTATCAAATTGAGACTTAAATGACGCTTTTGCGTTTTGTTGGTGTAGATGCAGCCACAGCTTCCATATGTCGAACGGGTAGCATGTATCAATTTTGCTATAAATCGTTTTCCATGGTACGCCGACGACTGTAAATCTGCCCGAATGAAAGTTATCATAGGTTGCAGAAAGACATGAGTGTGTTCCTTCGAGGGAACATTGGCATGCAATTGTAAGGATACATATGCACAATATACCCAAAGTAGTGAAGGGTAGCATATAGTCGGCCCAGTCCGACTTTACTACTTTCCTTACTGGTTATAAATTAAGTAAATCATGAAACGTATTAATTCATAAAAACAAAGAAAACAATCAATAAATCAAAAATTGTATTGTAGGATATTGTTAGGAATTGTCTAGCTTTGTGAATTTTTAAACAATTCCTAATTTTGTTTGAATTGGTATCGTTTGCCTAGTTTTGTTTATCTTTGTTGTATTAGTTCGGCTGTAGGCTTTTTAAAAGTAAAAATCGTTTTTAATTTTGATTTTTAATATTTATTGTTTCCAATATTTCGATTGGATTCTCCAATCATCCTCAGGGAATTGAAGAAATTTATGTTGTCTTTAAGTCAACGTTCTTACTTCAACTCAAGAACGTTGACATAAAGACAATTTTTTAATTTTAATTTTTTAATTTATTTTTTTAATATTATTTTTTTTTTATTTTTTATTACCACAACTTCACATCTTTCACTTTCAAAAATAAATTAGAAAATGAAATTTTACTTCAAAAGAATTGAAAGAACAGAAAGGCATCAAGAAATGAATAACGGTACAACACCAGCTGAAAACCCAAATAACGAAACTATTTTAACAATCGGGTGCAATACAAAGCCATCCAATTCAGAAGAAAGTACGATGACAACATTTTATTATATTTTATTTTGTTCTTCAATTCTAGTATGGATTTTGTTTAACAATGTAATAACAATTTGATTCATCTAAATCGGATGCTAGTTGTATGCTATTAACAGCCGTTATTTAATTTTTTACTATTGACATTACATTCGGATGGCTATTTAATTGTAATGGCCTGCGGATCAGTCCAGCGACTGATCTTCACTTTATCCTAGTTCATACGATAGCTATACACCCACAGAGAAACATGTAAAAATTTGGCATCGATTGGGTTATTCGTTTTTGAGTTAACGTGCCCGCTATTCGCAAACCCAATTTTTGGCAATATCTTCAAAATTTGTTGAGATCTTCGCTTCAAATTGTATTCATTCTTGAATTAGTGCAGGTTCGAATTAAATCAAGACACAAAATAAAATTTTTTGAAACTGAGAATGGGGGTATGTATGTTGACCAGTATGTATATATCAACGACATTTAATTTAAAACATCCAAGATGTGCCAATTACGTTTCCCCCTCAAATTCGTCTTGTTTCATAAACACCGTTTTATATCACAAATTTCCAGTGATAATTTTCTGTTCGCACACTCCATCGATCAAGTACAGTACACATAAGCGTTTCCAATAAAAATATTTAAAAGTATTCCAAACGATATCACAAAAAAAAAAAATCTTGTATTTCATGAATAGTGTTCGGAAAGTGTTGCCAATGTTCAAATTTGTACATTTTATGAACGCATTCGTAATGCGATAAATACTGGGTTTTTGTGTATGAGAGAGAGGGCACGTAAATATGAAAACGTCCATGAAATACATGTTTATTCTAACTGTATTCAAAGATTACATTTGTTTGAAGTATGAACGAGTGAACATGTATTGTACATATCACTTCAATAATTCATGAAATAATATTTTGTATACAAACATTTTTATTCATTTATTTCAAAAAATGTTTGCCTAAAGAACGGAAAAGGAACATGTATTAAAAACAAATTGCGACCTACGTAATGAAATTAAATATTTATTAAAGAATATTTTTGTAAAAAATAAAAATACAAATTCAGGTCATTTTAAAAAGGTTATTAAATATTTTTTAAATAGCTCATTTGGTAATAAATAAATAAATTAAATAAATAATTAAAATAAATACAAATTCAGGTTATTTAAACAAGTTGGCTACCACTTTTAATGAATTTCGAATAATCTCAGCATTTCCTTCAGCGACTGTAGAAAAAAGAATTTCATTATTTAGTTATAATGTAAACTAATTTCAAATAATTACTTACCAAAATGTTTGTTTTGTGTATTTTGAGGAGTCTTATTTGTTGCAGCGTTCTTATGAACCAGTTGAATATCGCGACGGCTGACGTTCTCGTCTAGCGGCTTGACGCTAGAATAGATTTTATTCATTTTTGCTCAGCGTCATACTCAAATGTTCTCTCTTGCTCTCAGTTGAGTTGCCATATTTTAGGTAAAAATGAACAGTGCTACCAAATTTCAATGAGAATCTAATCAAAACATATGGCAGTGCTGTTAAAAAAACAAATATTTTCAAAGATTGTGGACGTTTTTTGAACGAATTAATAATAAAATGGAAGAAAAATAATTTTTTCAATAATTTTATCCAAGTTCCTTGACATTATTGTCTATTAAACAATAAATTGAATTTTGTTTGGACAACGTAAAATTTTCTGTCAGAAAATAAAAACATATAATTGACATTTTGTGCCGCTAACGCCAACTCTTTCGTTTGGTTTTCACGCCGGCGAAAAAGTATGACGCTGACTCGTGACTCTCTGGTTGCGTTTAGACTCTAAAGAAGAAGAATCAACCACCAAACTAAGAGTCTAAACGCAACCATAGAGTCTAGAGTCAGCGACAGTCGTTTGCCGTGTGTTTATATTGGCAACGGGAAATCGCGACGGCTGACGTTCGCGTCTAGCGGCATGACGCTAGAATAGATTTTATTCATTTTTGCTCAGCGTCATACTCAAAATTTCTCTCTTGCTCTCAATTGAGTTGCCATATTTTAGGTAAAAATCAACAGTGCTACCAAATTTCAATGAGAATTTATATCAAAACATATGGCAGTGCTGTTGAAAAAACAAATATTTTCAATGATTGTGGATGTTTTTTAACGAATTAATAATAAAATGGAAGAAAAATATTTTTTTTCGATAATTTCATCCAAGTTCCTTGACATTATTGTTTATTAAATAATAAATTGATTTTGTTTTGCACAACGTAAAATTTTCTGTCAGAAAATGAAAACAAATAATTGACATTTTGTGCCTCTAACGCTAACTCTTTCGTTTGGTTTTCACGCCGGCGAAAAAGTATGACGCTGACTCGTGACTCTCTGGTTGCGTTTAGACTCTAAAGAAGGAATTATTGTCTCTCTCTCAATTTTAATCTCTTGTAACAACACTCCCTACATTCAATGTAGGGAGTGTTTCAAATAAATAGTGGCTTTTGGATGAATATATGAACATGTGGATGTATCGTATGTAAGGTACATAGGGAGTATGGAAAAAATAAAATATGAATGAAATTATGAAAATATTCATTAAATATGTATGTATGTGTGTATGGGGGTTAATCAAAATATTTTTCCCCATCGGATGTGTGCTGATTACGTGACAGGCACTGTATATCGGCCATTTATTAGATATATAAAGTTGTATGAGGCATAACCTTCGCAATCTAATGCGTTATTAGTATCAGTCCGCGCTTTTGGGGGTTTCAGATTTTAGGAAAAATCCCCATTAAAAATTGTTTTTGGTGTACATAACGGTTTACATACATAAATCGGTTTGTAGAATTATTATTTGTATAGATTCACTTTTTGGTATGTTTCCGAGTATCTGTCAGTATACCTATGGTGGATGGTATCCAAAGTTCGGCCCGGCCGAACTTGCCGTTTTTTCCTTTGTTTTGATATCATAAAGGACAATTTTTTATCGTAGTAAAAACTTCTGGAACAGAATGCTGTGTTCGAAGATAAGCCACATAGCCCAATATGCCTGGTTCATTTTGAGGTATTATGAAAATAATCATAGACATAACTTTTCTGTTTCCGATATCATGAAGTTGTAATTCTTTTCGAATTTATAAGAGAAACAATGACATAAAAGGGACAATACCTCCTGAAGGAGGAACCCTTCATAGCGTATACGTCATATATAATCCACTGGATTTGTGAACAGGATTAACGTGATGTATACGCTATGGATTTGACGTGATCCAGTGGATTTAGTGTCTAATCGCGCACTAACACTTTTACAATACCATTTGTTCGTTTTCCTGAATACAACAAGTAGATAGTATTTTTTTTAAAAACCTCTTGATTTTATTTCTAATATCACTTTAAATTAAATATGTATTTTTTATTTTATTCTCCTAAAATATGTTTTGTAATGAGTACATATGTTTTGTATAATTTTATTTGTAAAAAACCTTTAATGGCTTGCTGTTAAATAGCAAAAATTCGTTAAAGGTAATGTGGGGGATGACTTAGAAGCTAAAGTAGATGGGCGATTTATTGCACTGGAAGGTATAGACGGGATGGATCCGATGGGAAGATTTGCCTGTAATCATACAATTGGAAATATTTGAGACTCCAAATTAGATATACCCCTAAAAATGCTTACGTTGGGCGTGTGTAATCATAACCTCCATAGCTGTAGTCATCTCCACTCTGGCCACTACCTCTTGAGGGTTCAACGTTTAATTCATTATTCAAAAATTGGAAACGATTTCTCTTGTTGTCCAAGCCAAATTTGTTGTTGTCCGAGCCAAATTTGTTGTTAAAGCCACCCACATTTTTATCAAGAGTTTGAGGTCTGTAAATTTGCAGGAAATACGAAATAGAGAAATTTATTCGTACTAAATTTAAATAATGTGCCCCACTCACTCTGGAATATCCAAATCGAGTTCTGTGATGGGATGATAACCGAACTCATCAGCTGTGTATCTAGTTCTGTAGCGTTTTCCATCAGCGCCGGTAAATGAGTACGAACCGCTGACAACGAATGTTTTGTCATCCTTCAATTTACCAACACTTGCTACTTCAATACCATTTTGAGTTTTCAATCTAAAATAAAACAAAAAACACATATTTAGAAAAAAACACATTTTAACGTTTTTGAACTCTTCGATCCATACTCCAATTTGAATTTCTTGTTGCCACTGATATTTTGCAATTTGTCTACTTTAGCTTTCATGACATCGCCGCTGTATATGACGGCTGGCTTATCGTCATCAATATCCTCGGGTAGGGTGTACACATCGCTGGGATTGTATTTGAACAGATCGACATTATTATCTGTAAGGTGCTTGACATCGGCGGCTACATACAGCACAGCAGACAATAAAATGATCTGTAAAAAAGGTATATTCGTATTAAATGGTGTTGTATGGATAACACTATGATTTTAATTATATGAAAGTATATATTTAATAATTGTAAGAATGTATATAACAATTGAATTATGTTTATAAAAATGTAATTTAAGTGGTAAAAATATCCCTTAATCAATTCAACAAATTATGGTCAATGACGCCCTAAAGAGGCATAAAATGGACTACCTATTCATTGTGCCATGGACTAGTAATAAAATGAAATGAAGTGTATTTGTCAGCTGTTATTTGTTTACGTATACATACACATTTAACTGTTTTCATAATTTCTGAGGTAATTTAACAATCAAATTTCGTATAGTTGTTTTAGTAATTGCTATCTTAATGCATAGAAACTTTTATTGATTTAAATTATAATGATATTTTTTTTTGCTCTTTATTTTTCCTTGCTCTCGCTCATATCAGAAACAGGTCGTTAATATTTGAAAATATTTATGAGTTTGAAGTAATTAAAACACCAAAATCATAAACATAAATTTATGCATTAAACAAATATACATATTTAATTTAGGTATCGTTCTAAACAATAAAACAAAATAAACGGTAATATCATTCTAGAATTTAATATGTAAATTAACTAATTATCATATTAAATATAATCCAGATATATATGCAAATAGCTTTTGAAAAATATTATTTCTCAGAACTTCGATGATCTATGGAGTGTTGTTTTTGTGATAGGTTTGGCCTCATTATACACTATGGTTAAATATTAATAAACAAATATTAATGTGTGTTCCCGACGTGGGCCCGTTAGCAGAATTTCAAGTGTTTCAAGTTCAACATTTCCATTCGATTTATGCTAATGAAATACCAATGCGCCATTTTGTAATTTATTTCAATAATTTTAATTAAAAAAACGTATCTGAAAATATATTTAGTTTTTAAAAAACGCGATCTGAATTTGAATGATTTATCCAAGTCTAAAAGTTGATTCTATATATTCACTATATTTTGGATATCTGTGTAGTCCATGAAAAAAGGACCAACTTAAGGACATAAAATAGCCGTTAAATCTAAAAATAACGTTTCGATGATTTTTTGGCTATAGATTTTTTAATTCACACATGATTGAAATACTGAAACAATTGCAAATTTAAATATTCTTATTTTAAACCCGTAATATGTCGTGTAACATAAGTCCTTCATTTGTATACACTGTTATAATGACAATGCGCAATAATTTCTATTTTGTTCCTTCAATTTGAATACATAACATCGGAAATTATATTAATAGCTTTATAACTGAAGTTAAAGCAAATTTACATAGAACATTTAATCATGATTAAAGGCTGAATCAGGGTTTATTTTCTTAATCAGGCTAAATTTACCATGATTTACCACACAAATTTTAATCATCGTGCAGCAGGATTTATTTTAAATCATGATCGAAATCATGATACTACTGAGATGCAACGCGGGTTTCGTACGAAAAAATACAACTCTCTCACAATGTACCAAAATTTGCAACTGTTTTTACATGCCGTTTGTTTTTAAATTTAACGGCTGAGAAATACAAAAATGACAGATCAAAGGAAAATAAAAATTAATTATAGAATTTTTGTGTTTTTAGGTGTTTTTTACTTTCCAAACGATCACAGTATTGCAAAAACATTTCCATTGTGGTAATTCTTCTATTCTTTTTCAAATTGCAAACAAATATTTTTGGCGCATATTAATAATTTTGTATGTATACTAACAAACATCAGCTGATCGGCATTTAGATCATGATTAAGGGTATGTGTAAACAATTAGGGTGTATTTCTGGATTTCGTTAATCGAGTCGATTTAAAATCGTATATGTAAATGTACTTTTATAGTTTCAAATGTCATATATTATTTACAAATTGACACTTTTAAACGATCGGTGGTGGAGATAATTTAGTTAATGCTGCACACTATATTTTGTTCTATCCACAAAATCTATTTTAACTCCAATTAGAATATGTTCACAATTTCCAAATATTACTTCAGTGTGATGTATGTGACATTATAACATCCATGCGTTTTAATTAACTATATATAATTGATCAAATAAAAATATATCGTGATCCTTCCTTTTTTTATTTGGATAATCAATATTCACGAAAAAATTTGTTTTGTATTGCAGATTTGGGTCTCTTAAATCATATTTTGAATTTTATTTTCTCCATTATATAACTGATTTTTGTGTCATATTTCGACGTTAACCACAATCATTGTTCTTGATTTACTTTCCAATTTGAGTGTATGTCAACTGTTCACATTTATTTTCCACACATATATTCATGTTTTTATTTATTGTTTATGCCATTACGGAGTAGTTCACTTTATTTCAGTTTTTATTCTGTTCTATTAGTTAGATTTTCAAAACACATTTATGAGATTGTAGATGTAATCGATTATTTCGCCACTTAAATTACAGAAAAAAATCAGGAGACTTACTAATCGTGTCATTTTTTTAAGTTTAATCGTTCCGGCTAACTTGGATGACACGTATTAGTCGATCGAGTTCTTTGTCGCAAATACGAACAAAAGCGCTTCTCGTTTCCTTATATATTGTCATTTGCATACGAAATGTTTCCAATGCCAAAATTGTATTGAAACGAGATTTGTTCGAAGTCATCATCTTTCATCATCATCATCATTATGAGCAATTTTCATCATTCGGTCTTCGGTAAATTTTGATGTTATGCTCTACCAGTTTGCCGAAATGGCTAACGTTCTCTTCGGCACTATGTATATAGCTTCGTGCAAAGATCAAATCTACAGTCCAAAACAAAAACCGCTTATAACTGTATTTGTACAGAAATCACAATATTAACACTAATACTATTCTAATACAATGCGAGATTGGTCTAATAATTATAGGCAAACATTTTAGTTTTGTAACTAAAATTATTATACCAAAGCCAGTGCAATAAATTGGGTTTCTGTATAAAAAGTAGGCATGTTCGATTACTTTTCCAGTAACATTTACTCAGAATTTACTGAGAGTAAAAAAGAAAACGAGAGAAAACAATAAAAAGTAAACGAGCAGCATCCAGTACAGGAGTTGTATCGAAACAGCTCATTACAACAACAATAAGTTTGGCACGAATAAAAATGCGTCATTTTCATTAGAAAAATTAACGGCAAGAGAAAATCTGCAATAAAATATCAACTGATGTTACTGGAAGATGTTTACTGGGTAAATTTTCCCAGTAAGTAATTTGTACAACTTATTGACTAAATGAAAATACATACCTAGTACTTCTAAAACTCTTTAATGGAACAAATGCGGATGTTGGCATTTTAAAAATTCCCATGGTAGAACAAATAGCATAGAGAGATGATTTTGTATTGGGGAGACTGTAGAACCTTCAGCAATCGCGTTTTCGATATGAAGCTCTCACTATACAGCGCTAGTTTCGATACATAGGTATCGTATATCAAAATAAATGACTGTCGCAAAATTTGAAATCTCAACTTATTTAGATGCACAGATTTTTGTATTTTTACAAATGTTTTTGTAATATTTCCATTTCCTTTCGTAAGTATTTCGTGTAAAAAACTTGTATATTTTTAAGGCAGTATTATTAAAAATTAGTTAATTACAATGTGCATTCTTATGAAAAACAATTAAAATATAATGTTTTTAGAAGATTGGTCGAAAAAAACTATAAAAAGTACCTTCGGGGTAGATTCGGCATTTTGAAGTGGGCACATTCGGCCATATACAGACCATATACAAACTTAGTCCATCGTTGTATATTTAAAACCTAGATCAAGTCCAAAGATGGGATGCATCGGTTCAAATCTTCTGGTACATCCCCCAAAGTGTCAAAATTTGCAGTATTTATAAATCCAATACTAAGGCGAAGGGAATGGCCGATTTGAATAAGAAAAATTTAAGAAATTTTTCGGCTACCATCATGCACCTCGAGTAAAAAAACATCCATCTGGAGAGTAATTCCCTAGACATCCGCAAACCTTAGGTTAAGTATATATATCTGTTGGAAACACAAACTGACAGTTTTTTACTTGTTTACACAAAATAGAACAAGTGAGTGGAGCAGAATAGTCTGGTGGTGCCATGTGGTTCCATACTTTGTGTGTGGAATTTAAATTTTTAGTGATAATTGCCATATTTGTGCCTCTAATAATAATAACAATATAGAAAGGCCCAGATTCACTTCCCGGTTAAATTTTATGGATTTCGGATTATAGATATGGTCTTTTATCCCATAAATATTAACCAGTCATTCCCGAAAACTATAGGTGTCACTTTGAACTTTAAACTATTAAAACATAAACTTTTATTCTTTTCGATTTTTGTCAAAGATCAAAAAGTCGATTTTTAGATTTTTGATTCTGACTAAAAAGTCGACTTTCGATCTTTCGATTTTATAAAACATGTTCAAAATCGATTTTCGACTTTTACCGACTAATCCAAAGTCGACTAAAAATTTGATTTTTATATGAATCGTTCTCATCAAATAACATAAAGTTCTGGAAAGTGTAATTTTTGTGCAATTTGGGCTTTGTTGTTATAAATCAAGTATTTATGATGTATGCCTCAAAGATGAAAAGTCAATTTCGACTTTTAAAAAACAAAAAAACCATTAATACCTGCCATGTATTACTACGTTAACAAAATGTCCGATACTGAAAAAATATTAACAACTAGTAGATTCATGTGATAAGGGGACATGGATAACCCTGTATAATTATGCCATGATTATTTTCCTTTCTTTAAGATGATATTCCAATCAGGTCTGAGGGTGAAAACCCAAAATCAAAAGAAAATATCGTGACCAAGATTATACAGAATTATTACACTCGCTTCGTATTTAAACACAAATACAAAAGTACAAAATAGATGGCCCTTACATCTAAAGCCCTGCGTACTGCTGAGGCGTTAATTTTTCATATTCTCTCTTATTTGCATCTAATTAATGGGTTTGGATTAAGCTGGTTGACTCTGCCAAACCATCAATGGACGATTTGATCGATTAAAGAAGATGTGATTGTGTTCGTGATGTGATTTCGTAGTTTACACTTTTTGAATTCGTTGTTAGCTGTAACAAATGTGAATCTGCGATAACACAATGGTGCGGTCTTCTCGTGGTCATGATAAAGCGATGCTGATGGCATTAGATTATTATAAATTGCTGTTCAGTTAAAGCAAAATTAAAAAACATTTCTTGATATCAAAGACACTTCTACCTACATAAATTCATATTTACCTTTTATCCATAGCCAACAAATAAAAAACGAAAAAATCAAATCGTGTTTTGGATCGGACATAAATAAGTAGAATTTTGCTTATATTTAGAAGTAGAAACAAAAACGAAAATTTTAAATGACAAGGCAACAACAAAATGGCACAAAAGAAATCAGGTTTCTCGGGGAACAAGTCAAATAGACAAAGATGAGACCAGCACTAACTAACCTACCATCCGAACGACCAGCAATACCGATTAGCATACACGTTTAATGTTTTTAATTTCGAATCAATTAAATGCGAGTTTTGGAATCGTTTTTTATTAATTTTTTCTAAAAAAAAACAACGAGACAGACGACGTAAAATGTTTTTTTTATTAATAATACGCATATACGAGCGAAATAAAATGGTTCGCAGTTTGTTTTTAAGATATCAGAGAATATAAGTCGCTTGGAAACCAGGACGAAAAACACATTTCAAGAAACGTGTAAAACAATTAAAACGTAAATACTTTTCTCTGCCTAGTAACTAACCATTCGAACTTTGAAAACAATTAACATCAATTCAGTTATTCTAGTATTCCATTCACGTTCTTAGAATATAAAAATATATGTTAATAAGTTGTTGCATTGAATGGATATGCAAAACATTTAATTCAAAAATTGACAAATTAATTGTGATCAAATAAAAAATTTCGCTACAATAAAATAGAATAGGGTATGTTGAGATTATTTGGAGAAAACAATCCCACATATAAATCAATGTTTCGTCAACAATTCTACTAAAAATATGTTTATTTCATATCTGTTTAATTGGTCAAAAAAAAAAAAATAAAAAAAAAATAAATAAATAAATCAAATAAAAAAAATAGTGTTTATAAGCAATTTTTTCAAAATTCTTCTAAATAGCGTAAAATTAGTCGTTATATTTGTTCTGCTCCCGTGCTGCAAAAAACTACTTTTTACTACGATAACGAATTTTCCTTTATGATATCGAAGAAAATAGTAAAATCTAGTAGATTCTTGCAGTACGGGAACACACTAATTATTTGTTATGAGGATTTCTACAATTTGAAAAATCTTTGACAAATTGCCCCCATATCAGTTGAAATATGGTGGCACCGTAAAATATAATGGACTCAACGTGAACTTTTCAATACAACACACAAAGTCAAACCTTAAAAGTCAAACATACGAGGCAGTTCGGAAAGTTCTTAGCCTAGCACAAAAAACGCGGTATAAACAGAAAAAAGTAAAGTGTTTTGGAAAATTCCATCTCTGGTATGAACACATGTTAAATTTTGTTTTCGATCATCATACATTATTTATGTTCACTCTGGATTAATGCTCGTAAAATGCAGCACTTTTCTGATTTTTCACGTGACCACCCTTAATGAATAACCTCCCTCGATAAAAAGGATCAAATTTACTGACAATGGTTAAATATCTGTTGTAGATCTGTTAGTTTGTCGACAGTAAGTTTGAAAAATGTGTATATATGCATATTCAAAATACTCGAAAAACTTGTTGCAAACAGTTATTTATGTATGCATCTCGAGGGACATTATCCTTCGACAGGATAATGATCCTAAATGTACTGTGCTAGATTCCAGACTTTGGATTCTTTATAAATGTCCCTTGATTAATGCTCGTAAAATGCAGCACATTTCTGATTTTTCACGTGACCACCCTTAATGAATAACACCCCTCGATAAAAATGATCAAATTTACTGACAATGGTTAAATATCTGTTGTAGATCTGTTAATTTGTCGACAGTAAGTTTGAAAAATGTGTATATATGCATATTCAAAATAAATGACATTATCCATCGACAGGATAATGATCCTAAATGTACTGTGCTAGATTCCAGACTTTGGATTCTTTATAAATGTCCCAAATAACTCAAATAAACAATGAGAATCCGAAATATATAATATTAGACAATTTTGGGGAGACTAGGGCACACATTTTTTAGAGCTCTATATATCAGCACTTATTCGACGGATATAAAAACTTTAAGGCCTCTGATTTGTAATTTTAAAAACTATTACCAAAAACATATAATAAATTAGTATTTGTTAAAAATGTTTACAGTTTTGTAAAAAAGGTTTCGGCAGTTTTTATATCGCATTTTCGTCAATACAAGCACGTTTGGTCTTATATATGAAATTTCGAACCATATTAAATATTATATAGCACTATCTGTATATGGCCGATTGTGCCCCACTTTAAAATGCCGAATCTGCTTTTGTAAAAATACAAAAAAGTGTGCATCGAAATAAGTTTATTAGCTACAGATTTCAAACTTTGTGACAGTTACTTATTTTGATCAAAGGAAGTGTCGCACAGTCTTGCCTCAGTGGACAAAAATCAAAAAATGTGATGTTAAAAT